ATTTTAAGATGTTTGTTGAAAGGTTACTTGTAACGGAAGTGAAAAGTGATACAATATCAATTTTTTAAGCTGTTTTAAGGCACTTAGACAGTGCTAGGACCTGACCGCTACATTTTCTAATGCTGTGACTATGGATGAGGAAACTATATACCGGGTGTATTAAATGCAAACATTTTCCTAATAATTTTCATTCCTTTACCTTATCCATTTGCAGGACGAAAACCGCAGGTCCCAACTCAGTCTGCTCTCTAATCTCTATCTACCACGCACCTTGTTGTTTGGGCCACTAAGGGAGAAGCTGCAGCCTCAGGGAGGGTTTCCAGTGCCACCACTACGCTGATCTGATAGAGGCCATGGAGACCCACAATGACACCCATTTCCAGTTCTCATTATCCTCCGAAAAGAAGGAACTCTCTTTCGAATGTTTGCACTTGGCTTCCTTATAGGAAGAGCCTAATTTGTGCGCAACCCAACATAAAATAGTTATATTGCTGATCTTGTCGTTCAATTTTGCAATCTGCTCAACAATCTAAAAATGTCACCTCCAGACTTAAACAGCTGTACCTATCCCAAAACTCAAGATTAAAACTTTAGCTCCCAACTAAACCTTTAACTTTCCTATTGATAATGCTTATAAAAACAAGGTTCTTATTCAAGTAGAATGAACGAGTCACAAGTTAAAATTAAACAACACTTTTCAAAGCAAAACTTAAAACAATAATTATTAATCAGGGAGTTTCCAACTTTTTACCATCACTCACACTTTTCCTTCATCATCACACGATATGCCTTTATACACCACAGTTGTGAATGTCTTTTTTGGTGGGCTGGGGATGGAGATTCAGAGCTTTTGGCTTAACTCCTAAATTCTGTGCATATTCACTTAATCACATAACAATAATTTTGACTGCAATTGTGTTGGATTAGAAAAGTTATTTAAAATTCTCACCAACCACTGGAAGCAGAAGAGATTTAATATCTAAACACAAAGATTAGCCATCTTCTTCCTGGGTTGGGAATGTAAACAGAAGTTGACCAGTTGTCTGTGGAGAGTTATTTATTAATTGTCCCACAATAGTACTAAAGTCCACACCAAACCAAAGGACCCAAAGAAAGCTGAACTGAGAGAGTGACAAAATAAGGAGTTTTCCAATCAAAGACCTTTGGCCTCCTAGTCACTTAACTTCTCCAGGATCCATCGATACTGGAGTAAATTTTATATTCTCTATTTTCCTTTTCTTCCCCATTCTAAGCGATCCTTACCTCTTAACACACAGCCTCTGCCCACTGGTTTTACTCCCTACAAACACAGAGAAAGGATTTTTCCCCCTTTGCAATGTAAGGTCCAAATCATTACATTTTCCTCCAGCTGTTTATCTGCATTCCCCAAGAGATACCGATTTCAACATCCATACAGCATGCTGTTCCAGGCTTATCTCGCCATTTCAACCGAGCCAGTGGAGCTCAGGCTCCACCAATGCCAGTCTTCACGTTAAGAACTCAGGGTGTCCTCCTAGGTAGAGGTGTGCGTTGCTTGTGGGCTCTGATTTTTATCAAAATACTTATGAGAGAAGCTTCCTCCACACACCTAAAGGACCACAGTAATTGACCACAATCATATGCTGTGAACATATTTCTTTGTTGATGGGAAATGCTGAACTATTGTCAAGTCCGCCATCTGTATGGTGCTTATTATCAGATGAGAAACTGTGCAAGCAACTGTAGGTTCTATCCAGCTCCTTATTTGACCAGTTTATCACACAACTCTATGGCTTTATGTAACCTAAATGTATTCCATAAATGCTAAGTAATTAAATTGCAGTGAAGGACATTTTAAAGTACCCTTAGTATTTGATGCTTTTTTAGTTCAGGTATTGACTTCCTAATTCATTTGTACAATAAAATTTCAATATTTAGACAGTCTTCTAAGGCAAAGATTCTTAACCTGGGGTTCACAGGTTAAGAAATTTGTATGGGGTTAGGGGAAGGGTTCTGTGAGCATACAGACTGACTTCAAATTTTCATGTGCAAATATATTTCTAATGTACGGGGGTGGGGAGACCAGTTCCATTATCAGCTGCCCAGAGAGTCCATGACCCGAACCTAGAGTGAGTTAAAGCATCATCAAGAACTCACACAGAATCTACTTTAGTTGGCCACAGTCAATACTTTTTTAAAAAAACAAGACAGGTATAAAGAAAGCAGAAATTATTTATATATTGTCTATGCCCTCTTTATGGTAATCATCTTTTAAACTATCATCTCCCAGGGGATTTTAGATTGTTTGATCAGGAGGAAGACAACAGAATTCCCAGCTGTCTTCATGTGAATGTTCGTTTTCAGTAATAAGGATGCTAGAAATCCAGGCAGTGGAACTAGCACCATTTTCCCTCAAAATCAGGACTCTGTCATCTCAGAGGGAAGTACAGGCTGGCACACCAGCAGCTCTCCTCTTAATTACCAGGAAGGATCCCGTAACAAAAACATTTGTGGGACACTGCTGCCATAGCCTCCTGCAACGTGACGCATGGTCATATCACAGCACTAACAGGAGGCTTGCATCACATTTTTAAAATGAAACACTGTCATGTGTCACAGAAAGCCTGAAGACCAGAAAGCTGAGAAAATTATTCTTCAGTCGTACTTTACAAACAGGACTTCAACACTCAGAAGCTAATTTTTTTTGAGGGAAGGTTTTCAGTTTAACAGGAACCTATGAAGGATTGTGCATGTCCTCCAGAGGCCATATTGCTCAAACTGTCACCCAATACAGCTTAAATGCTACAACTGGCAACTAACTACGAAATGCCAGACACCAGGAAAGAACAGCTCATCCAAGTACTGTGATATAGAAAATTAAATGTGAGGAAGAAATGCTTGTATCCCTGTCTGCAATTTTTTAAAAACTTAAAATTTTTAAGTACAGGGTTTTTTCCCTGTTTTTCTGTTCTCAATACTGAATGACCTTACAAATGACTGACCAGCAACTGCTAGATCACGGCTGTCCTCATCCTGAAATGACAGCAGCACGACAGAAACCCCAAAGCAGCTTCCTGCGTCCTATTCCAAGTCTGAAATGAAAAGTAAAAACCTTAAAACTGATCGTATTCAGACAGAGACATTCCACAGAAGGAATAAAAAGCGAGTGGGTGGGGTAAAAAGACTAATATTAGGGTCAATCTAGAACCCAGAAACAAATCCCTGTGCAGAGAAACCAGAGGTGGATTTCAATGCAGAATCAGTGAGATTCTGAGCACTCCTGGTCAAGAAAATGACCCAATCTAGTGCATGAACACCAACCTTGGCAAAGGAAAAACTGATTTTATTTTCCTAATCATATGGGCCTACAAGCAGATATTTCCCTACAGGGAAATCCATGTTTATGCTTCATATAACTTATCATTTCCCCACCATAGTATCATACAAGACGTATTCTGCTCTACCCTTTAAGATCTTTACTAAGGCAACACCGGTAGCACTAAATTTCAAAGCACAATTTCTCATTGTACATAGCCATCTACAATTTTTTTCTCCTTCACCTTTAAAAGTGAACTTATGTACTAACTTATAAATACCTAGTCTGCACTCCAATATTTAAGTCTTAGCTCTTTCCCTCTAATAGCTGTTCTTTCAACCTTTTAAAACATTGTTAGAGCTATGATTTAACAATAGATTTTTCTTACTAAAAATGCTCAAGACCATTTTTATTTGTGTCATACTCTTATTTTATTACAACCTTTTTGAGGCAAAAAGGATGTGCTTAGAACCAAGATACTGGAGTCTGGTTTAAAATGAAGCCTCAATAAACAATCTCTCTGCAATCATATTTAAGATGGCTAATCCAATCTCAGTAAAACACGTTCCAATTTACATGTTAAATTTCTATGCTTCCACACAGTGAGCCTCAAACACAAGGAAAGTATTCAACCGATTTTCAAATAAACCAACAAACATGAAATGTAATTTAAAAGTTTTAAAAAAACACACGATAAAAATACCAGCCCCCAAACTGCACGTTATACCATGAATATTTTTACGAAATGTTAATAGAAAAAGCTGAGCGCTGTGACTGGATAGTAAGTGACAGCTCCTTTCTTCAATTTTGTGATTAACAGGTCTTTTTATTGGTAGTAAACTAGAGCAAACAATCAGAATAATAATACATATGCAGTATTCAGTACACACAATAAAAGTTAAAGAAATTCAAAACCTGTATAAAACAAAACACTGGAGAAAAATACAGCTTAAGAGATACAGTGGCAAAGATCCTCTCCATCCTCGGATTACAGCTTGTACTCTGTACCCAAAAAAACTTAACTGCACTTACCGAAATAAGAAATACAGACTTTTTAGAATTGAGCATATTTAAGAGGATTGAACACATTTTCTAAGGATCTTGCAATAACAAATAGGTGACCCTTTAGCTGATAAAAGACTTAAGGGAGGAAAGTTGGGGAGAAGAAATGAGGATTTTGTAACCATTTTTAATAATTTCTTATTTTCCAAACACTGCTTTCATAACAGAAGTGTTTTACACTTGCACAATATTAATTACTTTATTATACATGGAAGCCTGTGGTAGGCTGATTACACAATAAGACTGCAAACAACCAGTGGTACTTTTCTGACGTCAGAAGAGTACATAAGACTGAAACATCACCAAAAGTACATAAAAAACTCATCAGCATAAACACCAAAGTACATTAAAAAATATAATCAGGAAAAAAATACAATTGCTAAGAAGTGGTTTAGAGCAGAGCCACTATCAGCAGCTGCAAATGGCAATTAGCATCGATAGCAAGTTCTGATGACTTTACAAGACCCCTGTACAATACTGACTAACGCACCCTTTCACTGTACATCAAAGGCTGCGATTTCACAGAGGCTCTGGTGTCCTAACTAAACGAGACACTCTTATCCCTCACATTAGCTGTGTCACCAGTTGGAATTACACCCTTATTAGTATCTATAGCTCCAAGTATGTGGGGCTTTATTATACATGAAAATCTGGGGGGGGGGGTGTTTTTATTGTTTAGTATCTGGATGCCATAGGCATGTAAAATGCATAATGAATTACCTATGCAATGTAAATCATCCTAAAATCGAAACTGTCAAGACAGAAAGAGGAACAAGCAAGGTCCAGAACTCTTAGAAAGATGGATTAGAAACAAAAGAAAAACCCAGAAGTGTGGGTGACATTTAATAATACAGACAAGAGGACGGTGTCTTTAGGCCATGTATAATAATGCATACCCCAAATTTCAAAGAACGTTGTAATTCCAACTGGGGTTCTAATACTGGAACCAACCACTTGGGCTTCAACACTGTTCTAGATGTCAGCGGACTCCTAATGGAATTATAGCCTTACTACAGTTGGGATAAGGAGAGGGTGCTTTTTTTTTTTCTTTCTTCTTCTTTTATTAAAGCTATCATTCCAGGCTTTGATCAAAGATCCAAGAATATTTGTTCTACCAGGCTGGAATGAATGTGGTAAGTTCAGAGTACATTTAAAAGCTGCAACAAAATATAGGTAGCAAACATCTCAGAATTTTGGATCAGCCCAGATGGAGACAGCAATTTGAAATGTTTTCGATCCCTCACTTAAAATGATGAAATGTATATCTATCAGCCAAGATAGAGCAATTTGAAATGTTCTCGATCCCTTACTTAAATGATGAAATGTGTATCATACTATCTGTAAATTGGATATTCCATTACAGTGATACGTACAGAATTCCCATGCGTTATTACACTTTCCTGAGAGTGAAGCAATTAGAATAACCTTAATCCTAGCAACAAAGTTTTTTTGTGTTTTTTTTGTTTTGTTTTTTTGTAGGGTTTTTTTTTGTTGTTTTTTTTGTTTTTTATTTTTTTGCATTTAAAACTTTTGGGCTATTCCCTGACGATCTATACATGTAAATTTGATTGCTAGACATTGTCACTTTGAATGGCAAACTATTTTTAATCTATTGATTTTGATTAAAAATCATAATACAAACAGAGCTAAAATCACGCTAACAAAATAAACTAAATATGAAAAGTTGCATTGAAAGGGCATTACATTATTCTTAATAGGATCGTGTAGAAACATTCCAATGGCAGTGTTCTCAAAATAAAACAAAATTACATTAGAAGACCTCCAGCCCGGGCCCTGCTGGGGACCTTACCGGTAACTCTGGCTGGTGGGTGTCTTTACTCTCGTGCTACATGGCTCACTTACATCAGACATCATGTTTGTATACCCTGAGAAATCTGACACTGAAGTCCTTCCTCTATGGTCCACTTCTCCATTAGAGTTACTGATAAAGGTCATTGGCACCCTGCTGCCCGACTTGAACTGAGAACCAAACGCTTGTGCAAAGTTCTCAATCTGGTACGTCGTTCTAGGCTCTGTGTCTTTCTGAGGATCTATCTGGCTAGCTAACTCCTGAGATGGAATCTGAAAGCTGGCTGAGGACTCTAAGTTTTTCTGTTGTTCCTTCTGGCTGGTCAGTTTCTGAGATGAGGACTGAAAGGCTGATGAGGTCTCCAGATTCTTCTGAGAATCTATCAGATCATCCAGCTCCTGGGAAGGTGTCAACTGCTGATGGGTGGCATCCAAAGCAGACAGGTAAAGACCTGGTTGAGATCCAAACAACATCCCAAAAGGAGGCTTTGGCAATGAAGATGGCAACACTGAGGTAACAGACTGGCCGAAACCACACTCCAAAGGAGACGTAGTGTATATCTGCTTTTCTGGAAATAAGGTGTGGTTGTGGAGAGGCGAAGACAAGCTGACAAACTGGAAACCGTGTCCAAGCGCAAAGCCCGCATTCGTGGATTTTTCAAAAGCCTGCTGGAGGTACTTGGAGTATTCTTGCAACACGCTGGCCTTCTCACTTGAAGGGGTCTGGGTGCCTGGGCTCAAATTCTCTTCTTGAACCAACTCTGAGTGTTCTCCTGAGGTGTGTAAGTCCACTCGTGGTTCTGTTATGTTGAAGGGATCCTCTTTCTGGCTTTCTGACTTGCCGGAGTACTGATCCAGAATACTCTGCAAAACCTCATCCGGAATTCCAGACTTGTCATGACAAGACTTAATTTCAGTATTTAGGGCTGAGGAGTCAATAAGTGACAATGGGGCCTCGCTGTCCAAAACACTGACCCCTGCAGACTGAATGACAGACTGCTGGGAGACCATGTGTCCCACGTTTATAGAGAAGGCACTGTTGCTGCTGGCAGTTGGTAAGTATCTTCTTTTCTTTGAAAACTGCATGGCATCATCGTAATTACTGTTCATCTGGCCTTGCTTGCCACCTGTACCCTGGAGAAGACTAATGGTCTCCACACCAGTACTCGATGCTATGCCAAGTGCGCCACCTGGTTTCCCAGACAAAGGCTTCTGTCCTACTATGTCTGGTAACGGTGACACAAAGTTAAGGTAGTTTTTGTCGGTACTCTTCCTGCTTCCTTTCTTGAAGATCAGTTTTGGCACCCTTTTCTGCAGTTCATCCACACCAGGGCCAATGATGCCTCCGCCGGAAGACATGGCAGGCATCTCCACCGAGTAACTCTGCACGCTCAGGCTGTTGGAAATTGGCGATTCGCTCGCTTTAGCAGTCTTTTGCTCCTTATTTTCGACAGCTACGCTTTTTGACTTGGTTTTCCTCCTTGAAGAACTTGTGTTTCCCTGAGACAACACAGCCAGGTGACCCATACTGTTGGGGTTCGATGACCCAGGTTCTGCGCTCGCGGCTCCTTTCGCTATGGCTTCACCACACGTGCGTCTGTGCTTCAACAGCCGATCAGTCCTCGAGAAATACTGTTGGCAGGTGTCGCACTTATATGGCTTTTCTCCGCTATGTGTCCTCTTGTGTCGCTCCATGTGGTATTTCTGGATGAACTTCATGCTGCACTGGTCGCAGCCGAACGGCTTCTCGCGGCTGTGGATCTTCTCGTGCCGCTGCAGGAGGTATTTCTGGATGAAGCCCATGCTGCACTGGCTGCACTGGAACGGCCTCTCCCCGGTGTGGATGAGCACGTGTCTCCGCAGGTGATAGGAGCTCCGGAAAGCAGCGCTGCAGTGGTCGCAGATGTGAGGTTTCTGGCTTGGGGAGAGGACGGCGCCTTCTCCGTCTCCGACCGCGGGCGGTTTGGAAGATGCGCTCGGCTTCCTCTTGGCTTTGATTCCCTGAGATTCTGGCTTTGGCCTCTTCGCCTTTTTGACTAAGTTCGTGTCCTGCTTTGGCTCCCCGTGGTCGTGGCGCTCGTCGGTCCTGGCGCCGGCGCCGAGCAGCGCGTCGCGGTGCTGCGGGCCGGGCGGCGGCGGGGCGTGCTGGTGGAGGACGCTGAGGTCCTGGATGACGCCGTGGGACTCCTCTTGGCCCCGGTCCTCGGCCCCCGCGAACAGCCCCCCGTAGTGGTGGTGGTGGTGGTGGTGGTGGTGGTGGTGGTGCGGGGACGGCTGCTCCTCGGGGTCCGCGGGCTTCTCCTGCTTGATGCTCACCAGCGACTGCAGGAAGCCCCAGGAGGTGCGCTGCGCCGGGAAGGCCGCGCCGGAGGCCGCCGGCTCCTTCTTGAAAGTCACGTCCGGGGCCGGCGCAGGGGGGGGCTCGGCCGCCGGGGCCGCGGAGGTAGAGGCGGCGAGCACGCACTGCGGGGGAGGGGCGGCCGGGCCGGCCGGCCGGGCGAAGCTGGCGACCGGGGGCAGCCGGTGGTTGAACATGACCAGACCCTGCGGGAAGGTGGGCTCCATCTCCGCCCGCCGGCCGCCGGAGCCGCCGCCGCCGCCGCTCAGGAACCCGCCGCCGACTTTCATGCCCCGGAGGAGGCCTGGCTGCGGAGGGGAGGGACGGGGAGAGGGGACAGGAGAGGCGGTGGGACCGGGCCCGCGGGACCCCGCGCCCGACCCGCCGCCGCCG